AACATTAACCAAAAAAAAGGAATAAAATAAAAAATAAAGTAAAAGATAAAAATATAAATATTTACATATATAAATATATCAAATATGAACAGTAGCTACAGTAAACATGATATGTTTGATACCAAATGATACCATATACTATTCCTGCTATATTAAAGGAATGTGAACTTTACAGTCATTAATCATCTGAATTAAAACTTGCCTGTAACCTAACTTAATTTTAGTTTAATGTATGTATGTTTTGTATCTACTTTGTATGCTACTGGATACTTGAATTTCCTTTGGAATAAATAAAGTATCTATCTATCTATCTATCTATCTATCTCTCTCTCTATCTCATGAACGTAGATTTGTGCTGCATACTTAAAGCTACACAGTGAAATTTGTGCCTTTATAGTTTTGATTAGTATTATTAATTAGCCCTAGTAATAAGATAAATCATTACATACAAACACTTTGTTTATCAGAGGCTCTTTTTATGAACTGGACTTTATTTACTGTGCACTAAAGGCATCACAGAACATGTTAGTTTATTATATACAACTCAGAACACAAATATTTGGAATAAAGATCAAATCAAATAACATTTTGGTATTTATCTTTTACTTTTATACCAGACTGAAGGGTCAGGGTCCAAAGGTGACAAAGGAAATACATAAATATGCATATAAATGAGAAAATGATGAATAAAAACTATTTTGTCAAAATATTATTAATAAAAATTACTTAATACACAAATGTATTTTCTCAGTTATTTCTATATTTACACACACACACATATATATATATATTTGTATATGTTCACATCTCCTTTATAATAATGAGGGATGAGATAAGTCAAGTCACAGATAAGGTCTTGTATCAGTCTGTTCATATTAGAGGAGTCCCTTTCAGTTTTAGACCCACCAATGATCACTTGTATCAAACACACAAACAACTGCAAAGTCATAAATAAGAATTCATTTATTGCATTTGAGTAAATATACACTTTAAAGCCAGAAGAAATGACTCCCTTCTCGCAGCAGCCTGACACATTCAGAATAAAAAAAAGTGAAGAGTTTTGTGCGTATAAGCGACAATGGAATATAAAAATGTTACATAATGTAAAAGAATATATACGAGCAGAAAACCAAACGTTCGCCTCATTTTCACCAGTCAAACACGACTGCTGAGAATCTGTAAACGCTGACGAAGTAACCGTTACTGTGAAATAAAGAATAGGTAGATAAATGAATTTAAAAAATAATAAATGTTGCATTGTAGGAGTTCTCCTTACACCAAAATGTAAACCACCGGAACAAATAAAGTAACAGCAACCAGGCCACCATGTGTGTTGTGTAAAATGAACAAAGCGTGATATAAACAGGATTTATACTGCATTAACTGCATTCATTCTCCTCCACCGACCTCCGACACACACACACACACACAGACACGTTGCTTTCAGTTCTCCACAGTCTGATTAAAGTGTCTCTTCCCGTCCAGGTACAGCATCGACTCTGTCAGACAAACACAAAAACACCAGCAGGTAAACCGACAATTCTCAATTTAAAAGAGTCTGTTTTGGACTTTTTCTGTTCATTGGGATTTAAATTTATGCAGAACGAGAGGTCATCAGTTAAACATCTCACAAGTTCAGGGATTTCTAAATGCAAAGTAGTTGTTTGAGCAGATGCGAACACACGTCTTACCTGGAACGATGCACTTTGATGCACAGAGCTATTTAAAACACTGAAAACAGACGTCCCGGGAAGCGTTATAAGGTACAGCATCCGTATGTCTTTGGATTGGTTCCACAATGCAGGTTTTTTTTAAACTCTCTAATTGTTTCCACCCAGTTTTAGCAACAAACGCTGGGAGAAAGTCTAGAAACTGGCTTTGTGAGTGTAGTTAAACAGAGTCCAGTACAGTGCGAATTAATGAGCTCACCTCCGTATGTATTTGGAATAATGTTGGGGACGTCGCGGTCAGATATGAAGGTGAAGTGGAAGACGTTGGTGGTGTTGTGCTGGCGGGTCAGCGGATCAAACACCTCGCTGTGAACTCTGACCTGGATGTGCTTCCCCTGTGTGTAACACACCTGAAACACACATATGGTAACACAGCATTATGTAAGCATGTTAGAAAGGATTAATATTTGTAATGTTCAAGAAGTCAAAGCTGCATTAATGGATTTTTTTGGCTTCTTGGCAGCAGAACAACCAACATTTAATCACCTTATAAAGTTAATGTGTTAACAAACAGACACAGAACAACACAATAATCCTCTCTCTTAGCTCTGTTTGTGGTCTCCATCACCTCCTGAGGGAAATATCTGTCTCACTAAATGCTCCACTATGTTCACCAGTTAGTCTCTAACTGCGTCAGTCTGCTGTTTGCTGTTGTTGATGAAAACAAGGCTGGAGAAGAAACTGAATACAAAACTTTAACTGGTTATGGTTATTTGAGGTTTTTTTTTTCAGATCACAATCCCACAGACTCTCTGACCTGTGATGAGAGCAGCAGCAGGGAGCCGATCTCCACAGGTTTCTGGAAGAGGATATCATCAACAGCCACCAGACTTGGCCGACATCCTCTGCAGCACACCGTTAGGGGAAGGGACGACAAACAGTTTAACATCAAACCAATATTCTGCTTAAACACGAAGCTCTTTCTTTAACAGTTCTCACCCGTAGGAGCAGGCGTTGGCCCAGCCCAACTCGTAGGCTTTCCTCATCAGAAAACCTCCAAATATCCTGTTGAAGATGTTCCTCTCCTGCTCAACACACAGACAGAAAAAAATGGTTTGAAGTTACAGATGAGATTAACGATAGATTTCAGTCAGCTTCTCCCGGTTAGGATTCCTTCAGTGTTCATGGTTCAGGAGGTTTCTACCGGGAGCCCAATTATCCACAGAGGTCTCCTCCTCTCCAAAACAAACGATCGCCGCTTTATAAAACCACTAAACCACTGAATAGAAGCAGTTCGCACCTTAAAAATCACTGCTCTCCACAACCGCTGTGGACAGACCCAAAGGATACGTCGCCGGAGGGGCTTGCGAGCCCCGCAGCTGGCTGATAAGCACCAAGATCATAAACAGTGGAGGTAAAAGATGGGCTCAGAGCTGGAAAACAGTCAATGTAAACCACAAACGCTGACAACAGGCTCAAGAGGGAAAATATGACGCCATCGACAGCGACCGGTGAAAACACAGCGTTACTTGAATAAAAATGTACGATTTTTC